CGGCGAGCACTCTCCTCCAGTCAGTGTAAGTGTTCGATAAGAGATAAGAGAAAAGAAGATGCTCTTCTGCTGACTTCTATTGTCTAATTTGGCGGCGCCATTGTCCTCTCTCTCTCTCTCTCTCTCTTTCCCTTTCCCCACTCAATTTATTATCCCCCTCTTCAAACAACACAGCAGGTAGTCAGTACCAGTTCATCGCGGTGAGCACCGTCGGCGAGCGGTCAAACGTCGGCCTGATCAGGCTGAACCGACCACAGGTGCTCAATGCCCTCTCCAGCGGGCTGATGGCCGAGGTGGTGCAGGCGTTGGCCGACTTTGATGGCAACGGCGGAATTGCCGCCACTGTCATTACCGGCGAGGGGAAGGCATTTGCGGGTAAGCAAAGATGTGAGAGAAAAGGAGAATAAGGAAGAGAAGGAAATGTCTAGAAATTCGGTGAATTTTTTTTTCTCTTTCTTTCACTAATAATTACCCGCCCCTTTTTCATCGTTTTTGCCTTCAGCCGGCGCCGACATCAAGGAGATGACCGCCAGGAGCTTTGCCGGTCTGGTGACGGGCAAGTTTCGCAGCAACTTTGCCGCCCTTCAGTCCACCAAACCGCTAATTGCCGCCGTTAATGGCTACGCGGTGAGTGTTCAAATGAGCAAATTGAATGAATTAATCGTCCAACAGTCAATTAGTGATGCACATCACACTGTGAACATGATGTCCTCTGAGGTGTTGAGATTTTTCATTTCAGTCATTTGAGTAGTTGTGGTTGTTGTGGTAATAGAATATAAACACACCTCATTAGCTAGGTGTTGATTAATTGTAGTCAATTTGTTGTCACCCTTGTTTGTCACCACTGTCAATCTAGCACTTCTGTATCAGCCTATCCATAAAAAAATGATAATTGCCTAATTTTTTGTTTTTGTCGCTGATTTAACCTTCTTCCTCTCTTTCCCTCTTTTTTCAGTTTGGCGGCGGCTGCGAGCTGGCCATGTACGCCGACATCATCATCGCCAGTGAGCGGGCGAAATTCGGCCAACCGGAGATTAAGATTGGCCTGATTCCGGGCGCCGGCGGGACGCAGCGCCTGACCAAGGCAATTGGCAAGTCGCGGACAATGGAAATGGTGCTCACCGGTGATTCAATTGGCGCGCAAGAGGCGGAAAAGTGCGGTACGTTGCTTTAGTTAAATAAACTTGACTTTAATACCACAAAACCCTCTTTTTTCTTTTTCTTTTTCACTTTGACCAGGCCTCGTCTCTCGCGTGGTCCCCGCTGAATCGCTTCTCTCGGAGGCGATTAAAACTGGCGAAGCCATTGGCCGCAACTCCAAGATCACCGTGGCGATTGCCAAGGCGGCCGTGGACGCCTCCTTGGAGACGACACTGCGCCAGGGCCTGTCAACTGAGGCTCGCCTCTTTCAGACGACTTTTGCCACCAAGGATCGGGTGGAAGGCATGGCGGCCTTTGTCGAGAAGCGAGCCCCCCAGTTTAGCGATGAATGAGTGAGTGGAAAAAGTTTAACGTGATCAACGGCTAGGAAAGGATCCAGTGCAATCTAGTTATAATCTAGTGTGAGAAATTAGCATTTCCTTTTATTTCAGCCAGTAGTGTCTCTGTGTCTGTGTGATGTAATGTGAAGACAGGCAGTTGACAGTTTACAATCAGTGGACGAACATCAGCCAGCCAGCNCAAATGAGGAAAAAGTTTAACGTGATCAACGGCTAGGAAAGGATCCAGTGCAATCTAGTTATAATCTAGTGTGAGAAATTAGCATTTCCTTTTATTTCAGCCAGTAGTGTCTCTGTGTCTGTGTGATGTAATGTGAAGACAGGCAGTTGACAGTTTACAATCAGTGGACGAACATCAGCCAGCCAGCCAGCCAGTCAGTCAGTCAGTCAGTCAATCAATCATTTAGCCAGCTACTCTAATCTTTTTTTCAGAAAATCATTTTCATTTTCATTTTCAGTGTGAATAACTAATTTGATAAACTGGAAGCCGATACGCAACAGCAGATGCAGCAGCAGATGCAGCAGCAGCAAAAAACGACCAAACTGAAGACTGCTTTTTCCTTGTTATCATTCATTTTTTTTGACTCACAAACCGCATACTTGCGTCATCACACTTTTTGCATGAGAAATGAAAAATAAATAAGTCCGCTGTGCATAATTTGGAGGGCACTTATAAGTGACTGAAATGTGAAAAGTGTGATGCTAGTAATAAATAAAAGTAGACGAATAATCACTTTTTGTTCAAAACAATAAGGATCAATTTGCGTCAAAACGTTTCTTGATTATTTAAAAAAACTGCAATCGCTGGACCATATTTATCAAAATCATTGTGCAATAAAACAAAGAGATTGAGCTTAATTTCAATGGCAATATCAAACTATTTTTAAAATTAAAACAAAAATATCTATTTGAAAATTGATAAATAAAAAGAAAGTTTCCCAAGCTTAGCAGATGATAAAGATTAACTTGAATTAACCCATTTTTAATTGTGATAAAAGTCATCATGATCATTGGACCGTTTTGATGATCTCAAAGTACTAAAAAAAGTGCATTAAAATTAGTTTCATTATAAATTTGAGCAGAACTGACTTTTTCACAACCACCTGTTGAATAACTGTTGCTTTTGTTGCTGTTGTTCAAAAACAATTTTTTTGTTTGTTTTCTCTCAAACGCTCTTAAACAACTACTCAAGGGCATTTTGTTCCTGGAGTCACATTGCTTAATAGGATGAATGCACTTGTAAGATGATGCGCTCCGGCTCATGAGTGAGCGAGTGAAAGTACCATGTAATTGAGAAGCAATAAAAATCTGAATTAATAAAGAAGGAGAGTAAAGGAGAAAATGCAAACTGTGTCTAAAGATTTGAGAGCTTGCTCTGCCCTAAATTTCTGCTTGATTTTTTGCCATTTTACCTGCCGATTAGTCGTCAATTGCTTTGCACTGGGGGGAAACCTGAGCAAACACCACACTTGCCACTGCCTGTTCACTTTCTCTTTCTTTTTTTCTCTTTTGGACACCTTTTACAGTGGGTTACTGTTCTGACCGTGATAGGAAAAAGACAGCATTGATGGCGCTAATGTTCCAAAACACACACACACATGGACACATTGGCCGTAGTTTCAAGATCAAACTGATTAGCCGAATTAGCAGCAGCAACAACGGCGTTATTGAAATCGTTTAATTAACTGCCAAAAGTGTGTAGTTGTCCTTAGCAACAACAACAACAGTAGTGGGAAAGTACAAAATCAATCGCAAAAATCACAGCCACCGTAATCGGGCGACAGCTCATTAATTAGCATCGTATTATGATTATCACTAATCGGCCAATTTGGTGGTCGAGGCGGTGGTCTCCTTGTCACAACCACAAGAAGGAAAAAAAGGAAAAAGAAGAAGTGAACGAGTGTCAGAGAGTCAGTTGGTCAGTCAGTTTATGATGGAGGTGAGAAAGTCAGACAAAAAAAACTAAGGGACTTCTGCTGAAGTAGTTAGTAGCAGTCAGTTCCCAGTCAATGCCACACATCACTGCGCTGATAAAGGCATTGACGGTGGTGGTGGTGGTGATGGTGATGGTGATGGTGATGGTGATGGTGATGGTGGTGAACAGAAGCAGTAGCTGACTACGGTCAGGTAAGCTACGAAGTGGTGGTGGTGGTCAGGAGGAAACATTGGAAACGGGAGAGCAGTGGTGCATCAAAACGAACNGTGAACAGAAGCAGTAGCTGACTACGGGCAGGTAAGCTACGAGGTGCTGGTGGTCAGGAGGAAACATTGGAAACGGGAGAGCAGTGGTGCATCAAAACGAACGAATGAGAAAGAGAGAGAGAGAGAGTGAGTGAGAGAAATGCCGTAAATATCTTCAGACAGTTTTTTCTCTTCTCTGACTTTTCTTTCTCTCCCCTTTTACCTCTTCCTTCAGCCTCCTCATCCTCTTCTGCTTCTTCTTCTCTAATGGCCAGTGGTCTATATAAACTCGTCCACCTTTACTTTGATGGCAATTTCTGAGTATTTATCTTACTTTTATGAGTTGTGTAGTTAAGGTGCACTGTGTGCTGTGATTTGGTGTTCGGTGGTTTCATTGTGGTTAGTGCTGTGCTGTGTTTTGTGGCCTCTGTGCGGCAGGTGGTCATCTTCATCATCATTTTTGGTGGCTACTGCTGAAGCCCGCAACAACAGCGCCTCAACTTCATCAACTAAATCAAGTAGTTCATCTTTACAAAAACTCTAGAACTTTTTTCTGCTCAAACTGTGACAAGCTAAAACCCCTTTAAAGCCACCACCAGAATGGCGCCCTCAACCGAGGCAGAGTTTGCCTATCCGCTCTTCGAGAGTGACCCTCTGAAGATGGAAAAGTACGACGAGAAGAAAGTGAATGGCGCCACAATGGACGATGGGGAGGAGGAGGCATTAAAAGACAACGCCAATGGAAAGCAAACAAAGTACCGCCGGCAGATCGTCTGGAAG